CGATGCATTTGTCGATCAGCTCTGCGCGCCAGGGCGCCGCGCTGTGAGGGTGCGGCGGCGGGGCGCGGGGGCGCGTGCGGCGGCGCGGGGCACACCGAGCGGCAGCACAGCGCTGGCCATCGAGGCGAAGCGCTGCACCACACACGAACGGGACAGGCTAAAAGAATTCTTCGGAAACGCGCCTCTCTCACAGCACGGGCACGACAAAGGCGCGGAGTAGCGCGGACTGGCACACACACCGGCTCACCACCGGAGCCGCCTAAGCGACTCCGTTAAGAACGGCAATGCACTCCGCACCATGCACAATGCCGCTCTCCCCGCACGCTAGCTCGTTCACCGTCTGCCACGCCACGGCGGTGTGGAGGACCCCTCGTTTGGCGTGCCCGTTTTATTGATTTATTTATCACATACTCGTTCTGTTGCCATCCCAAACTGTCACTCCCCTTTCTCCCGGCCGGGGTGGGGCGCGCGCGGGGGCGGCGGGTGTGCGGCGAGTGTGCGAGAGTGAAATTTGGAACTAGCCTTGTGGGGGTCGGTCGGTTGAAGAGTGTAAAAGTGGATGGCATGGACGCCTTAACCCAGGTGTGCCGATTTTGAAGACAACTGGGAACCGTAAATAGCGCGTCACAAACCTGCGTCTATCTGTCACTGTCTGCTCGGGCTTGGCGGCACGACGATCACGTCATGTGCAGCAGCGCGAGGAAGATGCGCGCCTTCACTAGATTGGCCGACGTCAAGTAGTGCACACCGTCGGACGTCCCGCGAGCCTCGTCGCCGTCGGCGACCGTCGAGAAGTCGACAAACCTGCCGCCCACCTCCTCGGTGACTCGCCGGGCCTGCCGGTTGAACTCCTGCGCCAGCGCACGTCGCTGGTGCGGGAAGACTCTGTCAGCAGCGGGCGTCTGGAAGTGAAGGCCGGACACGAAGAAGCGATCGTTCGCGTGCACATGTCGGTGAGCCGTGGTCCGAATGGCGGCGAGAAACGATTTGACTGGCGCCCGCAGGGAGGGACGGCCGGAGCGAGGTAACGGCCCCTGCAGGTAGTGCAAACCGCCCTGGAGCCACACGAAGGCTGCCTCGCCGCCGCGTCTGGTTCGGACCGCGTTCGAACACCGACGGCTTCTGCACGTGAGGCGAGAGTCGTACTCTACCGATGTGCACGGAAAGGGGAACGAGACGTTGCGCCGGCACGGCTCGAGCTCGCTAAACTGGCCATCGCAGAGGCAGTTCGCGTTCGGCCGCTCAAAGCCGCCGCTCACAAAGTTGTCCTTCAAGACCATCGAGACGGTCTGCAGCATGTGTCGCGTGTAGGAGTCGCCCATGATGTGCACGCACCGACCGCCGCGCGGCAGGGAAGCGTAGGTTGGGATCGTACAGTCGGTGACAAACCGCCCGTCGCTGTCGTACCGGCCCGTTGCGGTCGCATTGACGAGGGCATCGACCGTCGCGCAGGCGGGGGCCTCGGTGGAGAGCGCAAACCGCGAGAGGGAGTACTGGCACCGCAGGGAGGGCAGGCTCACAGGGGCTGCGACCCGTGGGAGCACGAGATTGGGGCCGTGGCAATCCCGGCTGCTGCTCGTGAGGGGCGAGGTAAGTGGCCGAGGCAAGCTGCAGCTTCGGCCGCAACTGCGCTCCGTCGCCTCGCAGCGCTGGCCTGTCGTGCGGTAGTCGCCGCAGGCGATGTCACAGGTAACTGTGTTGTGAGTGAGGCGGAAGAGCCCGCGGCAGCTCTTGGCGACCCACACGTAGGGCCGCCGAGCAGACGCATTGTCGCCCAGGACGCACCCGAAAGTTCGCCCTAAATCGCAGGCAGCCCGACTGTCCGGCCGTACGAGCTCGCACATGGCCTCGACTGCAGAGCTCAGCCAGGCGAGCCGCCTTCGCGCCTCACTGGCCGCCGGCGCCGGCGCCAGGCTGGGTTCGGGTAAGTGAAGGGCGGAAAGTGGCCGCGCCGCGTATCGAGTCGAGGCTCGTCGGATGCGGACTGCCGGCGGCGGGTGTCCCGTGGTGGGCCGGGGGGGAGGGCCGGGGAGCAGAGCGCGTTAGTTCGTCTCTCCGCTTGAGTGTCCGGCCCCAGCGCGTTCTCTGCGAGAGGCGAGAATTGAGATGAAGCTTGCCAGACAACGGTAAAGCCAAACCACCTCGAATGCAACCCGCGTTGAAGCTTGCTGCGGTCTCGCCCGATGGAGTTTCGTCGTCGCGAACGCTGCGCGGTCCGGCTCATTGAGCGCGGCAGCCAAGCCCCCTGCATCAGGTATAACAGCTTCGATTGTTCCATGTCAGACGGCGAGCCGCTCATCACCGTGTGGGCGAGCTGCCGTGGCATTTTCGAGCTCGAGGGCAAAGTGGTGCAGTGCGGGAGCTATCGCTATCCCCGGCAGAGGTGCAAGGCCCCGCTAGTGCCACTCAAGCCTCCGCGCGGCTGGCGTACGGAGGCACAAAGTGGTATGGTCAATGCAAAGAGCGACCAAAACTGCCGGCTCATTGAGCGCCGCAGCCGCGCACCCTGCACCAGGTTTAGCAGCTTCGATTGCAAGCTGCCAGCAGACGGCGGCGAGCCGAGCATCACCGTGTGGGCGAGCTGCCGTGGTATTTTCGAGCTCGAGGGCAAAGTGGTGCAGTGTGGGAGCTATCGCTATCCCCAAGAGCGGTGCACGGCCCCGCTAGTGCCACTCAAGCCTCCGCGCGGCTGGCGTACGGAGGCACAAAGTGGTATGGTCAATGCAAAGAGCGACCAAAACTGCCGGCTCATTGAGCGCCGCAGCCGCGCACCCTGCACTAGGTTTAGCAGCTTCGATTGCAAGCTGCCAGCAGACGGCGGCGAGCCGAGCATCACCGTGTGGGCGAGCTGCCGTGGTATTTTCGAGCTCGAGGGCAAAGTGGTGCAGTGTGGGAGCTATCGCTATCCCCAAGAGCGGTGCACGGCCCCGCTCGTGCCACAGCTTTCTCCGCTCCGCATCCGCGAGCTCCGCCGCCGCAACTACTGGCGCCCTGCAGGTGGGTTAGCAGAGCTCAGCTGCTACGCTGAGCGCTACCCAGATCTGCTAGGTGGGTACTGCTCGGGAATGCTCGAGCGCTGCCGGTGGTCCGGTCTCAAGCAGCATTGGCTAGCCAACGGGACGCGTGAACAGCGCATCTTTGGCTGCTTAGCGCCACCGAAGCGAGCGGCGGCCACCATGTCGCCCACCTTGCCACTCAGCAAGATGAATGTTCGGCAGTGCCCCGCATCATGGCAACGTTTGCAGGCAAAGCTCGGGACAGCCAATGACTTTATGTCGGCGAGCCCGCCCCCACCCGGACCAGGCATGCGGCTGGCCTCCTGTGGGGTGGCAAGTGCAGCCATCTACTTCCCAGGCTTCCATCGATCCGTCGAGAATGACCGTTTCTGTCCCTCGCCGCCTCCCTCGCCACCGTCGCCCTCTCCGCCTCCCTCGCCGCCTCCTTCGCCGCCTCCGCCGAGCCCACCTCCCTCGCCGCCTCCCTCGCCGCCGCCGCCCTCTCCGCCTAACCACTTTCATGTTCTGGTGCTTCGCCCCGGGCAACAGCGGTGGGTCCGGCAGGCTGCCCCCAAGGCCCCCCGGGCCGCTGCGGGTTTGGGAGTATGCTTAGGCACAGCTTCGGCGATGGCAGCCCCTCCCTGGGGTGTTGCATAGGTGGGGAGTCTCCCCCGCTGCGCCGCTGGTCTCCTCCTTTTCATTTTTCTTTTCTTTTGAGAGCAGAACGCCGGTTTGTCGTAAATGTGCGTGTCGGGGGTGTGTCAGGAGCGTCGGTGGGAGGCAGCGGAGGGCGGGGGCGCGCAAGGCCGGAGGCTCAACCATTCGTCGGCTCGTCAGGGTTGGAGAAGGGGGGGGGGAGTCTGGGCGGTCGGCGAGGGGGTCGTAGTAGGCTGGGCGTACGGGGTAGCCGCCACTTTCCTGCCTCACAAGGGCGGGGCTGTCCCGGAAAGTGAGAGACGCCGGGCAGCGTGGTGCAACGATTTCAACCTCCCATACGTGTTTGTTTCGCTCCTTTCCTCGGGCTGTTCCATCTTCCCATCTCCTTCCAACTCAGGCGAGGCGGGGGGGGGGCGTGGGTGCGGGGTGCGGTGCGGTGTGAGTGTGTGCGTGTCATGTGGCTACAGCAAGTGTCCGTATGTATGTAGGAAGGTGAAGAACAGTCAGGCTCGGACTGGACACCGACGCGGTATGGGTGGACGCTAGACAGATGATGACGACACGCACGAGCGACACACAGACACAAACAAGCTCACAAGACACACAGCCAGCGGGCTGCCACACATCCTGAGTGGGCGTACACATCACTCAGGCCACGTCCCCCCTGTCGCCCCCCCCAGCCAGCACTCCTACCAAGGTGCCAAGAGACAAACAACAGCACAACAACACAGACAGGCGACAGGGCGAACGTGTGAGACTAGAGCAGGCTTGCTCCGCCTCTAGCAATCTCGTCGCCAGCCGCAAGGCATGGACGAGACCGTGTGTGGGGTCTTGTGAGGTGTCTATGGACGCCCTCCTCACAGGCTATTGGCCAGCCGCTAGCCCTAACTCGCACTCATGGGTGACGACAGTTCATTGGATGAGTGGTTGCGAGCTTGCGAGCAGAGGCGCGTGTGCTGAATCTAGATCGCACGCCGTGGCATATGACTTGGGTAGGCGTGCGACCGCAGCGCGCCCGCCGAAGGCTCGACGGGGCGCGCGTGTCAGCCAGAAGTCCGAGTATTATAGACTCACACACACTCTCACTAGGTAGGTAGGTAGGTAGAAAGGTGAAGAACAGCCAGGCTCGGACTGGACACCAACGCGGTATGGGTGGACGCTGGACAGATGATGACGACACGCACGAGCGACACACAGACACAAACAAGCTCACAAGACACACAGCCAGCGGGCTGCCACACACCCTGAGTCGGCTTACACATAACTCAAGGCCATATCCTCCCTGTCGCCCCCCTCACATAACACACATAAAAAAGAAAAACCCAGAAGGCACGCACCGCTCGACCACTCGACAGAGCGCGCGCCGCCGCTGCCGTGCCGCTGCCGCAGCGCAAGAGTCCCAGCTCGCAAGCTCAGCCATGGGAAAGATGAAGAACATGGACAAGCCGTGGGAGGACGACAGCGTCGACCACTGGAAGCCCGAGGCGTTTGCGCAGGGCGACATGGCCGGCCCGCTCTTGGAGGAGTCGTCGTTTGCGGTGCTCTTTCCGGCGTACCGTGAAAAGTACCTGCGCGAGGTGTGGCCGCAGGTCACCTCGGCGCTCAAGGAGCAGGGCGTCGCGTGCCAGCTCGACCTCATCGAGGGCTCGATGACCGTCTCCACCACGCGCAAGACTTGGGACCCGTACATCATCCTCAAGGCGAGGCTCTCTCTCACCTCGTCCCGCCGCTCTCTCCTCCCTGCCGCCCCTCTCCCCGCGACCGGCTCTCGCTGCACCGCCCCGCTCGCCGCTCGCCTGGCCGCACAGCTGCCGCCCTCCCGGCGGCCGAGCACACCCCACACCGGCTCACGGCCGGCCGCCAATAGGCGAGGGATCTCATCAAGCTGCTCGCGCGGTCGGTGCACCTGCAGCAGGCGCTCGCCCACCGAGTCCCAGCTCGAGGTGTGAAGAGACGCTGTTCACAAGAACCACCTGCAGCAGGCGCTCAAGGCGCTGCAGGACGACGTCTTTAGCGACGTCATCAAGGAGAGGGCGGCCTCTGCTGCAGCTGGACCTGTGCACAGCGTCTCTTCACACCTCGAGCTGTGAATACCTCAAGGTGGGCGGCCTCTGCTCAAACAAGGAGCGATTCGTCAAGCGGTGCGGCGCCGCTCTCTGTTGCGTACTCTGTTGCATCCTCTGCAACACACTCTGTCGGCACACACTCGGCACACACAAAAACACAACCCCCGGGACCCACGACGCACAAGCACAGACAGTCGAGAAGGGAGAGACAGCAACGACAGTCAGAAGCCAGCGCTGGGTACCAGGAAGGCGAATGCGATGACAGCCTCTAGTGCGAGCTCACTCTGCACACACTCTGTGCATGTCAAGCGGTGCGGCCGCCGCCACCCTCGCCGCCAGCACTCCGCCGCCTCCGCCGCCCTCGCTTCCGCCCTCGCTTCCGCCGCCTCCGCCGCCCTCGCTTCCGCCCTCGCTTCCGCCGCCTCCGCCGCCCTCGCTTCCGCCCTCGCTTCCGCCGCCTCCGCCGCCCTCGCTTCCGCCCTCGCTTCCGCCGCCTCCGCCGCCCTCGCTTCCGCCCTCGCTTCCGCCGCCTCCGCCGCCCTCGCTTCCGCCCTCGCTTCCGCCGCCTCCGCCGCCCTCGCTTCCGCCCTCGCTTCCGCCGCCTCCGCCGCCCTCTTCCGCCGCCTCCGCCGCCCTCGCTTCCGCCGCCTCCGCCGCCCTCTTCCGCCGCCTCCGCCGCCCTCGCTTCCGCCGTCTCCGCCGCCCTCTTCCGCCGCCTCCGCCGCCCTCGCTTCCGCCGTCTCCGCCGCCCTCTTCCGCCGCTCCGCCGCCCAAGTGTCCGTTGGTGAGGCGCGCTCTTGTCGCCCCTGCCAGGCGCGACCGGCTGCTCGGCCCCAACGGCTCCACACTCAAGGCGGTCGAGATCCTGCCGCGCCGCCACATGTTGTGCATGCGACATGTCCAGGACACGTCCGTGACATGTCCGGGACATGTCGCGCAGGCGATCGAGATCCTGACGGGCTTCTACGTGATGGTGCAGGGAAACACCGTCGCGGTGATGGGCCCCCACTCGCGTCCTCAAAGAAGCCTGCTCCCACCTCATTTTCCCACCCAATTTCCCATTTTTACTTC